AAGTGAATGGCATTCTTTCTGTGGTGATTAAGAGCCAAATATATACATTTAAAAAATTCAACAGCAGCGTCTCTTACCAGGAATTATGAAACTGTTATTGGAGATAATCCACAGACTTTGGAGTGAGCAGTTTGACGTACGAAATACTTTCATCAAATTTCTTTTACCGAACGCCACACACCAATCGTATCACTGCGCCGAAGATACGAGTACGCAGTGATACGATTGGTGTGGAGTTCGGTAGAAGAAAATAGTTCCTACAAGTTTTTGCTATTGATGGAAAGCTATGCACCAAACGACGATTGGTCTTTTCAGGAGACATACAGGGCATGAGATTAACCTTCCAGATCATTCTGGGTTGTAGTTAACCTGGGAGGCACCACGGGAAGGGAGTCTCAACATACTGATGAAATTCATTCAGATAGATAGATAGAGCAACAAATTATATAGTTTCAAAACATTTCTGATTTTCAGATACAAGCTTTAATACTGGGCTCAGCAGGCCACATATGTGTAATGTGTATGTTTCAATTACTGAACAACTTGCTTATGTTTATGTGGGATTTTCACTAGTAAGTTGCCAGAAAGACTATTTAGGCTGAAGCGCAATGCTATAAACAATTGCAAAAATAAACACTGGTGAGGTATATTTGATTTAGTGTCTTTAATAGTTATTTCTGTTTTGAGAGGTTGGAGACCAAAAGTATATGAAATGAAACCATTTGTTACGGCAGAAATGCTGTATGAAATTTAAAGGGTTACATCACTTTGATTTTGGAGCACTAACATCGCAATGAAATATACAATTAATGTCCACAACTAAACAATAGTTAGAATATCCCATTAATAAGGTCACAGCATGTCCCTCTGCTCCATTGTTTTGCTGTTAGTTATAATCTCAGCAAGTTTCATTTAAGACGAGCTCCAAACCCAGAATGGTAATTGATTCCTACATGACTTACTACAGCTCCTGTCGAGGGCTTTGTGTTTGCTAAGCAACACAAAGCTGCATTGTTAAAATACATTGGATTTCAAAAAGAATTTATCGATTCCATTTGGACAGAAAAACACACTAAGCTTCAATAAAACACATGCAAATGTATTATAAATTGAAGTTTGATAGGAGTTGACATAATATAAAAATAATATGCTAAGATATAAAAACCGACTAATATCTGCTGTAAAAACAAACAAAAATCTTATTTATTAAACTCCTCACTCTAAGTCAATTTTCATAAATGTACAAGGAACAGCTATTCCAGTGTTGGATGTATGGAATTTCAATAAAACCTTTTTCAAAGCTATGTTAATGTCTGTTTTTGTATGAGAATGTCTTCCTCTCAGTGGGTTAAAAATTGCCCAGAGGCTCAACTTACTCAAGTGACCAACATTTTTGACAAGCTAAACAAATTGGAGAAATTAATTCCAGCTTCAGAGCCTAATTCCCATCTCTGGGTATTATATATTTCCCCCTTTAACTGGGGTAGAGTTTGCCTTTCATGAAAATTCATCAACTCTCATAAGCAAAGGAACCACTATAGGTGAACTTGGCTGCGATAAACACTTAATTGGGATGAAAAGTGATGACATTCATTATCTGCCATCAGTTCAAAGACAGGGGAGCTATTGAAATGAGTGATAGAAACGGACTTTCCAGTTTGCAGACTTTGAATATAATCTCCCATTTACAACTTGAAAAATCAAGAGCACAAAGATCTGAAGTAGAAAGATAGGGCAAAAGCAATTAAACTGCATGCATTTCTGTTTCATTTTGCAAAGCAAAATTTTAACAGCACAGATGATGCAGTGGACCTAATTTGTTTGAGGGTATATGGACAATGTTCCCAATCTCCTGAATCATAACAGCAATCATTGTGACCATAACACCCATTTCAACAGAAAACATTTTAGAAATCATTTAAATATCACTTTTCCCTAATAACAGTACTGCAGCCAAACCAAATAGACACACTTGGATGAATTCAACATGTATGCTTCACTTTACAGACACACTTCAAAGCTACAAACTGAACTTATCCAGAATGCTGGGTTTGTATGGCATGGTGTGATTATTTGAACTAGGAAAAAAAATAAAAATGTACTAATCAGGTAACATTTGATTGCCCCTACTATTGGAAACAGTCTTTGAACTCTGCATTCATACAAATGAATGCCTCTTAACATTATGATAAAAAAAAATCACAAGATAAGCACTGAGATAAGCATAGATCTGTAATCGAAATTATAATTATTCATTTTTGGGTGTGGAATCCTAATCTTTGAAATTGGTTCAAAATTTGGATAGTCCGTTTAAAATAGAGGCTTGGGACTTAGTTGCCTTCAGGAGAAGCTGTGCTTATGAGAATGATCAGATTCTGACGGCTTCATCCCTGCAACGCTGACCAGGTTAAGAGGTTGGAAGATGGATGACTGATGGCTTCTTCTGTGCAGGAGCCCAAGTCCCTCACTAAAGCCTGCTTCCCTAATGGCTGTTTCACGCTGAGCTGCTTTGAAGTTACACCTGGTCCATTAAGAATGACTCTACTTTCAGCACTTTTTCTTCATTAGAGTAGCCCAGATTTCTGAGGGGGAGGGAGGGGGGGCTGGCGGCTGCATGGTGTTGAAGCCTGTGAAAATCGAACCTGAAGTGTGCCAGTTCAGATCCCACGAGGATGGTGATGTCATCTCCAGCAAGGCCTGCTGAATTAACTGAGTTAAAATATTCAGGTCTACAAAGCGATGAGAACAGAATAGGTGGTGAGAGAAAAAAAAAAAGATTAAGCACAATAAAATAACCAGAGAAAATTTTGTTTTCATTCATAGCTTCATTGAGCCGGAAGATAGGATGCTGTCAGACTGAATGTTAAAAAAAAAAAGTTTTCCCAGAACAAGTGAACAATTAGCGAAGTTTAATGCCACAACAGACACCAAAGCACAGTACAGTCCTTTGGGCAGTAAATCCTTGTTAAATTCATGCCAACAGCCTCTTGGATGAATCTCAAATCAACGCAGGACTGCATTAGCAGCGTTAACCCCAAAAGTGAGCACTGCACACTAATTATTAATCAAGTGAAGTGCAAATTGAGGATGCAGCGTCCATCTCTTATAAAAGGCACCGCAGGTTTTCATCTGTTGCCAACTAATAATGATCCATAGATCCCCTACTGCATATTCATTGCCCAGAGACAAGGTCCGTCACAGAACATTTACCGGCTGTCCCGAGCCGTAATTTAAACGTTACTTTAAAACACATCTCACCTTTGTTTCATTGAAAAAAGCCGTATTAAGCTTGCCAACCTATGTGATTGGAATGTGGCTCATTCCAAATAGACATTTCGCTGGTGCGGCAGATCTAAAACCCTTTGCAATTACAGCTGCATATCCTTGGGCTGAGCACGACATTTAATTGTGATTTATTGTGGGTAGGTGAAATGCCCAAACTCTGGCAGACTACATACATATACAGGAAGTCGCAGGTTGTGCACAGAACAGCTGCCCTGAACAAAGTTTTTTTCTCAGGGAAACCATGGTAACCGAATCAGACTGAAAAGCTATCAAGAACGTGCATCCAAAAAGCTCAAGTGGGCAAGCGGTTTAATGCAAATGGCCTCACTGGTAGCACTCGGGTAGAATCAGTTTGGAGACCAGCCCAGCATCTTCTCAGCTTCATTATCACTGTCACACTGTTGGCCTACAAAATATGTAAGGATATTACCTTCTCCCAAGCTGCTCATGACAGGCAGAGCACTGACATCTACAGGCTCCAATCACTAAACCCTATTTCCTCTATCTCTTGCTTAAATACAAAAATCTGTCACAAATGTCACAATAACACAAAATTCATCCATCCGAGTATTTTCAATGTACACTGAAATTCTGCAAAACATCCCTCCAAGATACAAGGCTTACAATAACTGAAATGTGAAAACTGCCCACACTGTGATATCTGTACATCTCCAAACTGCAACAACACCCATCACTCATTGGTAAGCACTGGATGAATGCTGGAAATGAAAAATAAGTAACTGTGAACAATTTTGATTTACAAAAATGGAAGCAATCGGGCTGTTGAGCTTGGATGTGCAAACAGCATGATGTAGAAATAATAGAGTTTTTACCAGCACTGGTCTCCCTGTCCTTCTTTGCCTTTTCCCAAAGTCACCATCAATTTTGACATGGTTCCTGCTGCTGTTGACACACTCATATCCTTTATAACATTTTTATAAAGGACTATAATGAATTATCATGTCAGTCAGCTGGTCTTTGGCCTGGAGCTGGGTCTTCTCTAGTAATAGAGTCCCTAATGGTCAAACGAGATGGATTCTCTCACTGCACCCAGATCTTATACTCACCTGCTCCTGAGCTATTTGATTCCTACATACCGTAGGCTTAAGTATCACTCTGTGGGCTGCAAACACTATCGTTTCAAATAGCCCAGGTGAAAGCTGGCCATCATTCTCATGATAGTAGCGCTGACTGACTGTAAACTGGGGAAAAGCACAGATTTCAACAGTCCAGGTGCAAAGGTGCAGTGGTTGCTTCCAAATTTGGGGGTTGCATTCGAAGACCAAATGCATTACAGTGGCATGACAAGGCTGTCCCGTTTAGAAGGCTCCTTCAAATGCGGTCTAGAAATGCATCCTTCCGACAAGTCAAGACTTGGAGACATACCCCAAGATTCACTGTGCAGAGGAGAAGTGGGTGTGTCCTAGCTTGACTCAAGGGTAAGGCTGGAAACAGCCGGTGATGGCCATCCCATCCCATTTGTCAACGCTTTCAGTTCAACCTTTGAAGAATGCAGCTTGCAAAGACTGTGCCTTCCTAGACCTTGTCCTATGAAGGCTGCAGCCCTTGAATTTGGACACTACTAGTGGTCAATGAGTGAATCAAATGCTACTCCAATAAAATAAACTACTATGAGCTTCATGATACATGAGCGATAGGAGAAATGAGAAAAATGAGAAGACAACAACACAAGAACACAAGCAACACTACAGCATGTCAAAGTGAGCAATTTATTTAGCCAGTGTGACTAAAAATCAAAATCAGCTTGGACTGGTCTTTGTACATGAAGAATATACATGAGACAAAGACTCTCAAAACAAACTGCAATATTTCTCCCAAAACAAGATCTGAACAATTTCCTGCATCACATACATTAGTCATCCACAGACAGACCAGCTTAACGTCGTAATCCAGCTCAGAGTCGCTCTGAGACATCAAAACACGATGAACAATCATATAGTAGTGAAAAGTCTGATTGTCACAAGGACAAAATGGTGGGCTTCTTCGTCTTGTTGGGATGCAAATAAATACATGGCAACACACAATAGAGGAAATGTCGATTTGAATGTCTGATTTACATTCCCTTCGTGACATTCATTACACGTGTGTTTATATGTAAATACAACCATTTTGCTGTTTGCTAACAATGTGGTTACATAGATACATTCTGTTTTCTATGGCTTGCAAGAGATAATCAGGAAGTTGGCCAATATCATTAACCAGAAGGCAGGATAGGTAAGCTGGAGTGCAGTTTGAGGTCGGTCATTAATTAGTAGTGAGTATTAAGTAGTGGGCAGTTCTACACAGTGAATGGGCCAGGCTTGGGGACCCGAGTCCCTGAGGAGACACAGCGTGTCTTCTGTTAGCGTTCCTACGCTGGAAGACTTCGGTTGCAAAATGGACCTGAGCAGGAGTTGGACGCCGCGTGGGGAGGAAGCCTCATGCTCAAGGCAAGGAGATTTTCCAGTGCGCAACAGATCTCTGCCAGAACCGTCACTCCTGTAAGTCATCATCAGGAACTGCATCTCCTAAAGGCGTGCTCTGAAGGAAGCCAGCTGACCTTCGACAAACCGCAGAAAGCTCCGCCCACCAGTGACAAAAACCCTGAGGGTTTAAATGCCACAGCTGAGCTGTGCCGTGACGGTACCATGGAGCACAGAGAGGTGGCATTTTGTCTTTCCGGACACATTTAATTCCACCTTTTTCATATCCCATTTTGAAATATGTCAAAGCTTTTAGTTTGCGGGACATTATATTATGAATCCACCCATCACCTGGGACCAGATAAGCCAAATGAAACATTTAAATTTGCTCTTATAATGCTCTTTTTAAATGTTAATTATCACCCTAAAATATTTAAATGGGGCAGATAAAGAGCTTCTTCTGTTTATTAGTGTTTCTTCCGAAAAGATTCCATTTCTGTGTTTATTTTTGAACATTCGGCCTAAACTGAATGTGCAATGAAGGAAAATGAAAAATTAACAATTCTTGAAAGTCGTGCGGCTTTTACTGGAAATTAATAGATGCCTTGGTAGCGCTTTAATGCATTGTTTCGGTATGTGGCACTCGGCATGAATATGCTAATCTATTCTAAACAAATCGCAGAGACTGACAGAAACATTGTTGCCCGGGAATCATATAGGAAGCCTTTAGCAGCCCGGAGTACAAAGAGTCTTTGTGGCGAACTTCACAATGAGGTGCAGCTTCAATAGCGCACGGAGATCCGGTATCTGAATTTTCTGGATTTTCACATCTCCCATAAAACTGAGGCACCCTTTTCCTGCTCCCCTGCTTGTCATACCCTGGAGATTTATCTTTATTTAACTGAAATAAAGACAGTAAATGTCCCGGCCCACCTTCACGTTCAATGTTTAATGGGGGAGGGGTCAACAGAGGTTATGGCACACCTGTTCCTCAAAACAGTGCGCCGCTGATTTAACGCTAAGCTTAATGGCCCGAAGAGTATCCGACAGCCTCTGCCTTTTCACCATTCTGCCGTCACCTTTGCGGGTGGTTGCCGCAGCAACGGGCAGAAGAAGATGAGATCCAAGGCATACTACTGAATCCAGGCGGCACAAGGCCATGGAGGACGAGACCCAAATGAAAAATGCTGCCATGGATGTTGTTTGAATGCGCTATACCCCAGCCAGATACTTGAAACCGCACGCAGACTCACAGAAGGGTGAGGCATAATTGAAAACTACGGATGATTAACTTGGGTAGAAAGTTCTACTGCAGTTGCTTTGCAGACTATGGCCGGTTCCTCTTGGATGCCTTCAAAACTCAATTACCAGTTTCAGGCTCATTTTGTTATTAATTTATTGGCCCATGGAAATTCAAAAGACAGCAGCCCTGAGGCGCTGCCAGGAGGCGGGAGGCTAAACTTTCGCCTTTGTTTCTGAGGTTGGTTGCGTCTGACCAAACCCAGAGGCAGGGACCTTGCCATGGAGAAAGGGAAGCGAGAGAGCGATGAAAAAAACAGCTCAAAGACGCCCCCGTCAGCTACAGCGAAACACTGTAGAAAAAACCGCAGCCCAATGTACAGTGGTGGACATAATGCATCAAGAAGATTTAACAGGATAATGCTTTATTTGTCTGTTTTCTTGGGAGGGTGTCGGTTGCCCGTTCTCTCTGTGAAAATACTCGGAACAGTTCCGGATCAGCACGGAACCTGGTTTCAGGCGTATGATCCGGACTCCTAAGTGTCGAGCTGCGGTAATCTGAGCAAGGCTGTGCAGAAACACTCTCCTGAAAGTCCACCGCCCTGCCCTCAGCCTGTACCATGGCTGCTGTAGTCGAACACGCCCTTCCTGAAGAATGGGGAGAACTCGCAGATGGCGTGCTTAGACAGCCGGAAGCCGGAGCGCTCTGCGTGCAGCGGGGAGTCCCTCGAGTCCAGCATCACCTGAAAGAAGTTCTTCAGGTACCTCTGCGGATGGGAAAAACAAGGTCAACCACCTTCAATACTCAACTCAAATTCTGAGGATGGGAACTATTGAGGAACTATTGAATCTCTCCCACTAGAGAACAGTAGTACCACATGCCAATGAATATGTAAGTTCACCATAAATGGGTAGTGAACCAAAATCACACAAGAGATAGATATATTATTTATGGGAGGAGGAAGGAGGCACGGAAGTGACTGAATTAGGGGATATATATTAAAAAAGACAAATGAGGACCAATCCAAGTGATTGTTTTGATAAATATTTCAAAGCAGCCCAAAAACATCTTTATGGTTTAGAGAGGTTTATAAATGAGTTTGTCAAGCTTTTCAACACCCCTCTCCCATTTGATTTAAGGGCTGGGGGTGGGGGGAGGCATTGCCTGCACCAGCCAATTAAACTGAACTTGCTGGCTCAGAAGGCAAATAAATGTCTCCCATCGAAGCAGAGCATGCTGGGAGGGGTCCCTAAAAGTTCCAATCTGCACCTTAATTTCCCAGACAAAATTATTTATCATATTTCATAAAGGTACCACTGCTTACGACCCCCTCCAATCTGGGCTACTTTCATAATTGGCGGATTATTGTTCATGGGAATAGCTGCATCACATTTACATATTTACATGAGTAATTGTTTCATAAGAAGATGCTGTAATGTAATTCCACTGCAATCTCACCCCCCTGTACCTCGCAGGCAGCCTCCACCTCGTGCGAATGCAGCTTTATTGTACACCAGCCGGCAATAAGAGGAGCCGTGTGCAAAGCGACTTCCTGTCATGCTCAGCAATGGATAGCATACAGGCCCGTGATATCAAAGCTAGTGTCCCGGGGGTGACGTCACCATCCCGTCTTGCACAGGGTTGCAGTCCCCTCAGGGAGCCAATCGGAGGGGGATCTCAGTCCCCCCCGAGAAAGACGGAGGGATACCAATTCATTTACGATTCATGGTTTCACATGCTAATGCCAAGATGTTTACAGAACCTGGGAGAGAATGGCGTTTAGCATGAAGGTCACCGAGGCGTGCAGTTTAAAAAGAAAATCTATAAATCCTGCTTATTTGTAACTCCGAGTGCCAATTCAAATGAGCAACTATACAAGGAGGACTGTTTTTTTTTTGTTGCGTCCTGAAAGCCAGCTGCATAATTTCTAAAACTAATCTGCTGCTGAATGTCTTTGGGGTGGGGGGTGTGTGCTGGGTAAAAATGTATTGTAAATTATGCAAATTGTGACAAAAAGGGCAAGCGATGCACTGGGGAATAATCGTAATAAATGCTGCCAGGAAATTTAAATAATCTGGTAAAAATCTACAAAAATAATGGACTGCGGCTCCTCATATTTAGTATTCAAATTAGCCTGGTGACAATGAGAGTCCATCAACTGTTATCATCATTTTTGGTGCTCAACAGATGTGTTTATACAGATCTTAAAAAGCTAATGTCATTACAGTCTTCTCATTATTTACCATTAACAAAAAGTAGGCTAGAGCAAAATTAAATACAACTGTAACTGAAGTCCCGGGGTGCGTATACAACATCAGGTGACCCCCATGGGTGTAGAAATTTTGGGTTCATAAGCATAGATCCTTCGCTAATATGCAAGCCGTAGAGTCCCTGTGTTTGCCATGTTTTCATCATCTTACGGTGCCTCCTGGCTTGTGGGAAATGATTGGAATTAATGGTAACTGTCTGTTTCCCTCAGGCCCATAGGAGACAGACTTCCTCCGAGGGACGCAGACAAGCCAGCACTCTATGGACGAGGCTTCACGGACTCACGCTGCAGAGAAGCGCACCCCATGGTGCAGCTTCTAGCATAAACGCATTTATTAATGCGTAAACAGAAGATGAAGGGTCGAGGCTGCCGCTCAGCGAGCCTCATTACCCTGCATCCTGCGCTCCCGCTGCCTGAAATTAATGCGAGTCGGGTTTCCGTGACGGAACTCGTCACCGAGCTCTCCTGCAGCACAGAGCGTGGGCATCTGGGTTCCTGCAGTCAGGAGGGTGTGGAAGATGATGAGGAAGGAGGATGAGGAAGACTGGGAACACAGGGCTCTTCGGCCATCGGCACATTGTGGACAGCCTGCATTATTCCTGACATTTCCACTCAGGCTCCTCCCACAAGTGCCACCCATGAGGTCCCAGTACCACGGGTCAAGGCCCCTAAAGGAACTAATGGGGAACCAGAACCCTGCATTAATTAATGTCCGGACACCCCCAAGCCACAGAAAGTAATGACGCGAGGAAGCGAGGGCCGCCGTTTCGATTTCCAGGTGCATAATCACCACAGCTGCAATTAATTAATTTGTGTGATTAATTTAGCATCACTGTCAAGTGCAGGAGCCTGGAGAGGCGCTAAAGATCAGAAGAGGAAGACGGGAATCGTTACAATCTCCGAGCGGTTCGTCTAATGCGACTCTCGGCATCTACAGACCAAGGGCCGGGTTGGAACCTTGAAAAGCAAAGTTTAAGGGGGGGGTAGCAGAGGTCAACAGACCTGCCAACAACCTAATGGAAAAGGGTGGGGGTTCAAATACTGCCTATCAAAGGTCAGACACCCCCTGTAAGAACCTGACAGCCAGATTGACTGAGTCGACCGGTGAGACGATAGATAGATGGCGGGAAAGGTAGATAGACAGAAAGATAGACAGATGCAGATTGTATCGAAGGGCCATCGATTTACCACCCGCACCCTGGCAGGACATTCCGAAAGCTGCTTTTCTGTGCCGTCAGCTTCATAACACTCTGTATTTGTTTGCTGTTTAATTTACGAAGGATTACCGTTCCACTGATGTGGGTTTTCAAACAAGCATTATTCTGTTATTATTCCAATTTCAATCGAGATTTTTATTTATTTATTTTTTTTATCTGCAAACCACCACTTTAAAGCTCTGCCGCGTAGACGGCTTAGCGTGCTTCTGAACGGTAAGGGAAAAGCGTAAACACAGCAGCATTTACATATCTGAGTATCTGCTAAAAGTATAATTTCCTAGGCTCTGATTAAGCGGATACGTGAGCGGAAGCTGAGGATGTCTGCAGCGCTCCCAGCTGTCCGCCGGCTCCCGTTTCTCGCCAAACGCCCGGCTGCCTGAGGTTCCGCAGGGCTGTTTACGTCCTCTTTCGTCCGCCATAAACATCCATCATCTGGCTGCCTCCACCTGGCACGGTACCATTTGTCCTAATATCTACGGCTGTCCCGTACTATTAGCCGATATTGAAATGCGCATAAGTGTGCTGAATTCCCATCGAGCCCCCCCCCCATGGCAGCTCCTATCCGTACGTCACTCCAGGGGCTGCCAGCGGTACACGGCACGCTCCTCTAATCTGTCTCCCCAGGCTCTCGGATGGGCCTCCGCAGGATGACGGACGGAGAGATGTGCCTGGGTGAGGGGAACCGAAAGAGAGCGAAGCCAATTAAATCTTTCCACCAGCCGGCACGCAACACGTCGTCCTGGCTGTGAATGATGAATGCTGATTCGCACCCCCCGCACCATCCTCCCCCTGGGTTGTGGGCAGAGGGGGGTGAAACCGGGTGAGTTGACGAGACTCGACACCCGCCCGCCCGTCTCAGTCTCCCCGACGAGCTACCCTGTCGCCTTCCCCGAGACGGGACGTGTCGTCCCTTTGCTGAGGCTGATGCCAGAGGGATGATAGATTGCCAGAGAATGGCAGGAGAGGGAGAATGAGGTGAGGGGAGCCGGGGGGGCTCTGCTGTGACGGGGATCCAGCCCACAGCTCAATCTTTCTCTAAGCAAGACACATCGTTAGGAAGAAACAAGGTAAATGTGGGCAGAGAAGAAAATATCCACCAGGAGGGAAACAAAATTTTGGGACTGGCCCCCCTCCTCAGCCGTCACAGGGTCATTTTTCCTTCAGTATGGATGACAGTAGGAGAATGGTCGCTGGCTGATATACTACATTCTGCGAAATTCCGAAATGTGCCACCTATAGACGCTACACTATCCCAGAAGGCCGCTGCAGCGGCAAAGAAGGACATTGCCTGCCAGAAATTTGTGTCAAGATCGAGGAGGAAGCGCCATTTCTGTACAAATTTAAGTGGAAAATAATGCCATGTCATTGGTAAATATCTGGGTCAGGCAATATGCAAGACAGCGACGGAAGTCTGAAACGTACATACATACTGTACGTACTGCAGTACGGTCGAGTGCTAGGCTTAGTACGTACTGTGTAAGTATGCGATTTCACATGGAAAGTTTGTGGAAAGTTCCTCACTGCCTTTGTTCTCACGAGTCAGAGATAGTCAGACATTTTAATTAACATCACAAAACCAGGTGGTGGATTTTGGCCTGCCCCCCCCTAGTGCCATTTCCTCTAGCTGTGGAGGTAACTACAGCAATGAGTCACTGCGTATGTTCTGTTGTTCTTAAACACACGATGGGGAGCAACGGCCTTCTCATTGAAGTACACTGAAACTGGAAAATGTTTAATCAACCGCTGGCTTCTTCACACTCCTAGCTGACGTATCCATTTGCAAATGGCAAACGTGTTCAGGGTCTAAGAGGGGACTGTGGAACACAAAGACCAACGCGGAAATCCCTACTGCATTGACATTTATCTTAAAGAAGCACAGAAAGGGGCTTCGCTAGAATGCAAACCTTTCCCCCAGCACCTGAGGCCTGCAAAGCAATTGATCAGTCGTGGTGAGGGGGGGCATTCTGCTGGATGCGCTCCACCCTCACGACGATGACACACGAGCCAGTTCCCAAGTCCCCCAAGAATGCATCCTCCCCCCCACAACCTCGCGGACATTGATCCAAATCTCTTTGTACACTAGGTGCTCCCAGGCAAGCTGACGCCGGGACCCCTACTGAACAGAGACAGGGAGGCAGATTAGCGCTCACACTTACCTGTCCACTGCCAGTCACCCAGACACGTATCACTGTGTGCACACACATCTACCGGCAGATGCATAACACACACCCAACCTCCAGTGCCACATCACACAGAGACCGTAGCCATGTCAGGCCCTTTCTGAAACCAGGAGATGCTACAGTTTCTCAGCGCCGCCGAGAGTGAGACTAGACACAGTCAACAGCACGCTGGTCATCACTTCCTGCTGTTTAGAGCTCGGCATTGTGGGCAAAATGAAGTGGCGACTGTGAGGTCTGGGGGAGGGGGGTTTCTGGGAACCCAGCGCTTTAATTGGGCAGATTGGGCTGATATAGCCAGCCAGGTCCATATGCCACATGAGCAGCCGGGGAGGGGGGGCAGGGTTGTGGCAGGGCTTAGCAGCCCAAAAAACCAGATTGGACCGGACTGGACCGGACCTGCAGGCGTGGTGAATTGACCCAGAGCACCCGTGTCCCACAGCAACAGTTGTCAAGTTGCAAAACAGTTGCAAAGTGGGGGCTGCAATCAAAACCAACTAACCAAAAGAGGAATTGAAACAAAAGATGAATGGAGTAAAAGACACATGGATTCCTCTCCTCTCCCAGTGTTACACATCCCTACGGGGGTGCAGCACAGAGATCTCCGAACGTCACAGGAACCACGAATCCGCCTGATCAGCCGCAGATGGCTGCACGTCACCGTATTACGCCAGCGTGATCCCCCCACGAGCCATGTGCTGCATCTCCCGTGCCGCCAGTTTGAAAAGTAATTGATTGTGGAGATTTTTCGCGTGGACAGCCAAGACCCCTGAACGAGGCTACACTGCGTGTGAGGAAGCAGGCAAACGTGCAGACGAAGGGGCAAACGAACGAGTACGTAAACAGATGGCGAATGGCAGCTGTAAAGGCTATGGAAGGACTTTTTTGAAGGCAGGCACAGTGTCAAGATGTGATGGAGGATTAGAGGCAGACAGCGAGCCAGACAGGCGGCTCAAGAGGCCTTACCCAGGACGAAGAGCCCCGCCTCCGGCAAAACCGCACTTCCAGAACATACCTCCAGGTGACTCCTCCGCTCGGCGACCACTCTTTCATCCCGGTTTCCGAACAACTTCTTCGGTGGGAACTCCAGGGAGCTCAGCTGCAGGGGGGACAGGAGAGAACAGCAAAAAAAAATCTGTGTTAAGGGTGAAGGAAGAATCAGAAAGAGCTGGGGGTGTGGGGGGG